TTCCCTATATAACACTCACTCTGATCCCTTTCAAACTGTCGAGTATTGTATAGCGTTTATCACTCTCATAGCGATAGCTACTCTACGGAGCCTGTCTAGTTTTTCCATAGCCTTATCTTAGTCTTGCCTTGTCTGTTTTCTCGTGTCCTGATCTTTGCCTGTGTATCTCGGATTCCCCCTCTCGTCTTGCCCTATTCGGATACTGTTTGCCCCTGCCTGGACCTTTGCCTTGTACCTGGATTTATCCCTCTAGTCTCGCCCTGTTGATTCTGTTCGCCGATCGTAGACCCACGCTAGCCCTAGCAATATTCTTGTGTCTTGCCCTCTATATACCTGTTGCCATTGTCTGACTCTTGCCTGTTTCTGACCATGTCGGTTAATAAAGCTTCGCACTTGGATCTGCACATCTCACGTCTCAGTCACTCCGTGACACCTACACCTTACCTAAACTTAACAACTACCTTACTAACTATTAAAGCAAATTAGGAGTTTGTTCAGGGAAATCTCTTAGTTAATAATGAATATGTGTTCCCTATTCAAAAGTGTTACTGGATGCGCTATTCTATTCAATATATATTTGTATAAGATCTGCCGCTGGTGTGACTGGCCCTGTAATGCTTGCAGTTATATTTTCTCTTGTTTCCATTTACAGACAGTGATTGATATTTATTCCAGATATGCTGTGAATTACCTCCAGCAGGGACAGATGTCTTCATATTGCCCTCAGCCTGAGCTGTGAGAGAGAACGAGAGAATTAATCACTGGGAAACATTTATTACACATTAATCACATCAGCAAAGCAAAGCGGAAAAGAGGTTTAAGTCAAACCATCACACTTGTAAATATTTACTCACATCACAGTCACAGTCAATTAAATGTTACCTTGCTTGTGTTCATTCTCCAACTGTTCAGCCAGATCATTCTGCTTCATCTTTCTCAGGATGTCCACCATGATCTTCACAGCTTCTTCTGGTCCAAAACATGCCACCATCTTTTCCACTGTGTCGAATATATCTGCCTTTTCCATTTCAGTGATATACACTTATGATATGCATTCATTAAGCGCCAATGAAACTCCTTCAGTTCAGCTTCTAACAGTTCCTTCAGTGAGTCCACAAGCAGCTCTTTAACAGACACCATCGTCCTTCACCGACTCACAGCTGCAGGACAAGAAGAAAAAGATCTGAATTACTTTCACTCTCATCATGTGGACTTAAGTGTTTAAATGTTATTTGGATTATGAAGCTGTGAATGGAGATTCTGATATGAATCATCAGAAAGTTGTTTAAGCAAATCTGCAATAATTGCTTTGAGTTTTGTTAGCAAAAAACAAACAAACTGCTGTACACAATGTCTCAATGCTGTCTGATACTGTACGTGTAGAATCAATACACTTTAAAATCTATATATCTCAGTATCACATGAAGTAGTACAGTAACATTTACTAAACATGAAATGAATAATGATGTAGATGTGTCTTGAGCAGAAGTTCTGAAACTCTTTTCAATTCTGCATTTATATAGGACTCTGGAGGGCAAAGTTTTCTTTAGAACTTAAACCAGTTAAACCAGAACAATTTAAGAAAACTAATGAAGTCAGTTTTTCAGACTTGAGATGAGAGTAAATCCATGTGGAGAATCACTGTCTGCCATCAACAGACCCACACACAACATATCTGAAATACCATTGAGTAAAATAATTGACAAATTACAGATAAAAAAAGCAGAGGCAAACAGTAGTGAAGTATTTTTACTTTACTCAAGTAAATTTAAAAAGTATCTGTAGTTTATTGTGGCAAAAGTCATAGTTAATAGTTAATGTGAGAATTGGTCCCCAAACTAAAGTGTGACCATTATTTATTTCCTTTATTACAAGTCAAACTAGCCTTAAAGTTTAATCAGGATCCAAAGAAAGATATCACACATTTAGTATGGGCAGTTTTTCCCCCTTTTACTTAATAATAATAATAATAATAAATGATCATTTTAATCAGATTATTGTCAGAATTATTGACTTATCTGTGTGTTTTTGCCCCTGTGACCCAGTTTCTTCCTCATGTTGATTGTGTTAATTTGATTCCAGGTGTGTCTCGTTCCTCCCCAATTATCCTACCTTTAAAAGCCTTAGTCCTTTCAGTTCTTGTTTGTCAGGTCTACTTGTTGAATGTCCTCCTTGTTCTCGGTTTTCCTGTGGATTATTAAAGACTGTGTTATTCAAGTACTCCTCGTTTCCTCGTTCCTTGCTCCCTGAGTGAATTGTGACAATTATATAATATCAAAGATTTAAATCATAAACAGAATGGTCTGATTTAAGCTTTGTGAAATCATGCTATGTAAGACATTCCAGCACAAAACAAAAGCAGCAGACAGACTGAATGAAGATGCAAATTCACTCTCAGCTTGTAGGTGGCGCTCATGGAACAGCAGGAATACAGCATTTCCTTGGTTACCGCTGTAAACAAAGCAGCGCTGCGCTTATAAATACTACTTTACTAATACTGCTTTGCCATTGCCATCAAAACTTTTCTGAATACAGTCAGTCCCCTTCGGTGATACATTCAATTTTATATTTTCTTCCTATATTTCGAGCATTGTGAACAGTGAGTTTGCTCTGTCTGCTACAGTATTTTCTCCTCTTTGCTGTCTGTCTTCAGCATCTCTGGTCTCTTTTAACATCCTGTTTACAGACTCAGGCATGATGTACAGTATATTTTTTTATACCTTACAGAAGAAGCACATGAACTTCACATTTTCACATATTTCACATGTGATTTTAACATGTGATTGCAAGAGCTTTTCCAGTAGGTCCCAAAAATAACATAAAAATAAGTACAAAAATACAGTACAAAGACTGGAGAAATGTAATGTATTTTTGTAATTATTTTCTGTTGTATTCGGGAGCTACTGGGACATTGATAAAGATCTACCAGTCGCCCCCATCCATCGTGATCGACAGGTTGGCAACCACTGCTATAGAAAAACATAACTTGAAAGACAACAAGCCATCGGCTTCAAACACAGTCCTGTTCAATAATTAAATAGATTGACAAGCTCTTTGGCTAACACATACGGCCTAATTGAGTTAAATGCAGATGAAAAGTCAATAAAAGCCAGCCATGCCCTTGTTGTGGGGTCTCCAAATGCTGAGCTACTAAGTGCACAAGTGTTGTGACGGCATCTTCAACACCCCTCCTTGCCCTATATGCAAGCTGAAATGGATCTTATCTTAACTGAAACTTATCTTCTGCATGCTTTAATATCTCCATTCTCACCATTTTTCATCACCAGAGAAAAAACATTATCAATGAAAAGATCTGAGAAATGAACAATGCCTTTATCACTCCATCTTTTAAAAGTGTGATCAATCATAGACGGCAAAAACAAGTGATTGTTGCAAATAGGGCTGAAAACAGAAAGTGATTCTAACTGAAAATGTTTTCGAAATTGACAGCACAATGGGATTTCTTGTATAGCTAGAAGGTTGGAGAGACAAAGGAGCAAAGACTAATGCTGGAAGGGAAGAAGAGGTACAAGTAGCAGCTTCTAGTGTACACCAGTTAGACTCTGGAGCATTACACCATAATGAAATCTTGGAAATATTAGCGGACCAGTAATAAAATAGAAAATTTGGCAGGGCTAAACCACCATCACATTTACGGAGCTGAAGAATAACTTTGTTTACTTTGGGAATCTTACATGCCCAAATCAAAAGAGGAAAGAAACCCAGTAAAAGAAAAATGAAAGGGTAGGGCACTTTTAGGTATTTTCCTAGCTGCGTCATTTAAGGGGAAACATTCACTTTTTGTAAAATTCAATCTGTAACCAGAAAAAGAGCCAAAGGTGTCAATCAGGTGCATAACCTCATCAGCACAGCCTACAGGATCCTGGAGATATAGCAACAAATCGTCTGCGTATAAAGAGACTCAAAATCACCCCACTGTAAAATCAAAAATACACTGAGTGAGCAAAAATTTGTGAGATAGTTTATGTATAAAAGCCTACATTAAAATCTGTCATATAAATTGGTCTTTTCATTAGAAATTAGCCTACTGATTGCCACCATTGATGGACAATTTTTTTTTTATAATATTAAAAATATCTGTATGACATTATATTCTGCAGTTCTTCCCTGCTGTACCAAATATCGATACTTTTCAAAGTATCATATCGAATTTAGAAATTCAAATATTGTAACAAAATTAATTTTGTAGGGTGCCACAAATTTGTTAAAATTTCCAAAGGGTGCCGCGACTAAAAAAAGGTTGGGAAACACTGGTCTAACATATGTGGGGCATGATCAGAAATAACGATGGCTGAGTAATCGAGGAAATTACAGAAGAAAGTAGGGCCTTGTTAAGAAAAAAGTAATCAATACGTGAGTAAACATGGTGTACACTAGAAAAGAAAGAGAATACCTTATCGGATGGATGGAAGAAGTGCCAGGGGTCCACACAGCCTATTTGATTCATCAGTGAAACTAAGGACCTGGACATAGCGGAAGACATAGATGATTTGGGCACAGATTTATCAAGATTATTATCAGTGACACAATTAAGGTCCTCACCAAAAATAAGATGGTGAGTGTCAAGATTTGGGATCTGTGAAAAATGCTTGGACATAAAAGTAGGATTATCCCAATTCGGAGCATAGACGTTTACTATTATAACTCCACTAACAATAACAAAGCGTCCCTCAGGATCAGAGATTATAGGAAACTCCATAGGAAACATTACTCTCTTATGTATCAAGATAGCTGTACCTCTTGACCTGCTATTAAAGCTTATAACTTATAACTGATTCAACAAGTGACCGATATCCTGTCTTACATTGAAACCCTTTAGCCTTCTCAAAAGAGATAATCGCTGTTGAGCCTTCTTATAGACACTATTCGCCTGCTGTGTAAAAGATACAGTAGATGCTTGTCAATCTCAGTGCCAAAATATGTAAAGAAACAGGCTCGTATGAAAAGATATAATAAAATATTTACAAAAATGTGAGGGGCGTACTCACTTCTGTGAGATACTGTATCTCCCTTTGCATTTAACTTTGAGCGTTGTAACTTCGCAGATGTTGTTTATGCTCAAAGAGCAACATTACACACTAACTAAAGTAAAAAATATGAAATCATAATCAGTGACCCCTTTAATACTGTTCCTCCTGAACCACTTAGGCTGGGGGGAACAATGGTTAAAATTTATGTTTAACTCGGTTCCTGAAAATTATAATCCCAATATAGCTCTCTATGCTGCACACTTTACGGAGGACAGCTTCCTCTCAACAGCGAAAAATTCTTCCTATCAGATTGTGCTTCCAGGATGATATTAATGTGGTTTGAGGCTTTAATAATGCCTACACCTACCCCAACCCTAATCCTAACCTTACAATGTTAAAAATACAGTGTTGGTAGCATAATCTGATAGGTAGCATTATTTGTTAGAACACAGGATTCACCCAAAAGCTTGTCCTGAAAGATGGAGCAGTTCCCACTTTAAAAAAAGTAGAAGCTGTTGTTTATGGGCCAGAAGCTGTTGTTTATGGGCCACAACCTGTAAGTATGTTTTATTCTTTGTTGATGTGTTTTCCATTAATAGTTTCTATCGTTAATTTTATGTTGTAGCAAGGATGTAAACAAAGGGCAATGCTGTTTGGCTCCGCTAGCCAGTTAGCTAAATGCTAATTCATACTTATCCATCAAATGCCTACAAAGTTCTTTTTAATCCCACCAGCAAACTTCAAATGTTGTTTATGTGATTAGTGTAAACTATTCTTTGATTAGAGCTTTTACCACATGCTTGTTTAGCTACATGCTCACTAAATATGGTTCTGTGTTTGATTTGGCCACTGTAGTAAAGCCATGGTTAGTCTTTGTAATGGGCTCGTAGTTCTGCCGACAGATATTTGGCAACACACGACAAAACTAATGGTGCTATACAGTCAGTAGCAATCACTGTAGATCCACAGTCTGTAATCAAATAATCCCTTCCAGGACTGTAGTATCATTTG